TATTGAAAAATAACATTAAAAATTTCAAAACTACAAATATCAGGTATTAAATGTTTATTAACAGATTTAAAAAATGATATGGAGTAAATTTTAGCATTTTATCAATAAAAATTATGGATCAACATTTTTTTCCTAATTATTCTTATTTTAAGAATAAAAATTAGCGTTATTTAAAAAAATAGTAATTCAATTTTCATATTATTCTAAATAAATTTATTTGTATATTTCGATTAAATGAATTAAAATTATAATAAATGTTAAACTGTTATAAATAAAAAAAACTCTCATTTTATTAATCTGTTTGACTCAAATAAAATATATAAATAGATTAAGTGTTAATAAAACAACTATTAAAGTAAGATTATTATTTTAGTAATTAAGAGTTAGAATGAAATTATTTCGATTTGCAAATTTCGTCATAAATAAATGACTAAAAAAACAAATATAATTAATAAATATTTTAAAGTACAAGAAATGCAAATATTAAAAATAAAATCAAATTTTGAATTGCATCACGCATTTTATAAAGGTTTTGGATCCTTACCTTAGCTTTCTCTTTCATTTTACATTTTTAACATTTTTTTCACAATAACTTTTTTAATTATTCTAAAAAAAGCATATAACTAAAGTCCTAAATTGGTAATTAAAACAGATAACAAGATTGTTATGTGAAACCAACCGAAAGTGACTTAATCATCATAGTCAATGCATTTTCTGATTTCATTCCAATAAAATGTAACTGTTAAACAAAAAATAAAAACACTGATTTCCATCATTAAGAGATTAATATATTCTATTCTATTTTTTTATTATTTTATAAAGATTATGTAAATTAGATAAAGAGAACAAATAAGTGTTAGTAATAGTGATTAAATTTGTTAGTTTTTTTAAAATAAAACTAAAACCCCTGCAAATAATAATTTTTTTAAGATTAAAAATAAATCAAATTTTTTTAGCCAATATTTGGAGATTGTTGTTGCTTTACTTTTTTTAACAAAATGAGAGGATATTATAATCACACAAATATATAAAATTAGATAAGCTAAAATATCTGAAATGATAGATCTTGCAGAAGTAAAAGATTAAGATTGAATTTATAAAAAAGACATAAATATTAAATCCCAACAATTAGATATTAAAAATTCTCTTAAACCTTACTTTTCAACTTATCTTTTTATTTAAAAACATTTTTTCTAAATCTTCACAAATAATTTAGATAAACTTAATCCAAAACAAAAAAAATATTTATCGTCTAAGTTTCTAAAAAATTTAATCAAAAAGTAGCAAGCAAAATAAGTAAATAGAAATGCTAAACTAAAAAAAATTTAAGTTTATAAGTTATTAAAAATATTAGCATTAATTCCATAGAACTAAAATTTTTGATATGATTCAGTAAAAGGCACATCTATTATTTGAAATGGATATGAATTAAAATTAAAAAATTCTAAAATAGGTTAGACAGTTATTAAACTGCTTGTCTCAAAATAAATAAATAAATTAAGTGGAAATACAACATTAATGAATCTTAGATATGATTATTATTATAATATTTCAATAACACCTCTTAAAAGGAATGAGTCTCCAAGAAGTAACAATAAAATACTAGCTGTGCCCATAGAATTAATAATACCTTTTCCAATATTTTTTAATATTAAAGCAGATTTTTATTGTTAATCATCAATATACATAGGTAAGTTTAATCTTACACTATCTCTTAGATTCAATAAAGGAGCATTATTTTGATTATACAATTTTTCATTAAAAATAATTTCAAGTATAGGTGGGGATGACAAAGTTTTATAGAAGATGATCTCAATTATATATTCAACAAAGGAACAATACTATTTAGCTTCTTCAACAATGATCAAAGTTATATTAAATATTTCATGATCAAGTTCAATTAAATTGAATTCAATTAACTCTGAAAATATAATTTTATCAATAACTTTAACTTATTGATTGAAATGTAAAGATACATATTATTTTTCATAATTTTACTTGATAAATGTAGCCTCAAATTGAGGATAATTTACATAAGTACATTAAGTAAATGAATATTAATAATTCTTGCAAACATAATTAACTTCAATTTTGCATTCTTATGAACAACCATCCCCATCTTATTAATTCATATCATCACACTCCTCTTCAATTGATACTAAACCATCACCACAAAATGTCTTACATTAATTTTAACTTTTCTGTAATTAATAACCTTATTCACATAATTTACATTAACCTTCTATACATTAATCACAATGATGTGGACAATGAAATTAACAATTATGACATCCATCAGTTTGATTGTCATTTAATTGATCACAATCTTCTTATCCAGCAATGATACCATCTCCACATTTGGTTATACATTAATTATCAAACTCATAGAATCCATATTCACAATGATCATAACAAATTCCTTTAATACATAATTTACAATATTATCTACATTAATATTTACATTAATAACAACCATCATAAGGTATTGAATTCATATCATCACATTATTCATATTCAATTGTAATTAATCCATCTCCACATACAGGAGTACAAATTTAATCAATCAACGTAAATGTATATTCACAATTATAACAAATTCCATAAATACAAGTATCACAATGATGACAACATTATAATTTACATTCAAAACAATCATCAAATTAATTACTATTTAAATAATCACATTCTTCATAAGAAATTAAAGCAATTTAAGAATCTCCACATTAAGTTTCACAAATAAATTGATTATTTAAATGCCATCCATAAATACAATTTAAACATATACCTCTAAAACAATATGAACATTCTCTTTAACAATCATTTTAACATTTATTACATCCATCAAATCTTATTAAATTATTATCATCACATTCTTCTAAGATTTAAATTTCATTATCACCACAAATAGATTAACATTATTATTTAATTAATTTCCATCCTGGAATACAATCATAACATATTCCAAATTCACAAATCAAACAATTTAATGGACAAATAAATTTGCCATTTTTACAAATTTCAAAATTTAAATAATCGTCACATTCTTCCCAAATTTAAAATTTCTAATCATTTACAATAGCAATACAAGTATTAAAATCTGATTAAAATATCCA